TAAAATAAAGGACATCTCACATATACTTCAGTTGAAATTCTGTGTATTTTATTCAGGTCATATTACCTATCCCAATTAGGAAGCCAATTGGAAAATATTTTGAATCCACGAACAAAGGTAAATAGTACAAGTTAAATAGCCTGAGATTGTAATTAATTAATGCTGATTTATTGTGATTAATTGGAGATTAGATCATTTAATAAATATAGACAGGATCTTTTCTAAATAAGCAATAGAATACAATTTAAATAGCATAACAAAATGGCCCCCAACGTGTAAAGCTTTGAAAAATATTTCTAGTTGGCAAATTTGAAAGGATAGGAGTAGACGAGCAGATATTTGAAAGTTTATATGCCGTGGATAAAGTGAAATATTATGTAAAATTTGAGGACATAAAGATTTATATTTTTTTAAGATACAATTTACCATAATTGATTTATTCGTGATATTGACAATTTATAGGTTACCATAATTGATTTATTTGTGTGATATTTACATTTGATAATTTTACCATACTTGATTTATTTGATTGAATTTGACATTTGATATTTTGCCATTTGATTTATTTGTGGGATATTGAAATTTGATACTCGTACTCAAGAGTTATTACATTTGAACAAGAAAAGTCAAGTTGTTGCAACAGACCAGTAGAATTTTATATTTGGCGGGGACAAAAACAACATGTCGACCACAAGGAGTCAAAGCAAAATGCAAGAAAGGAAGGAGGATAACAGAGAAGAGGAAACAATGTTTGAAGAAGGATCGGATAATGAAGGAAATGTTACAATAATAGAGGAAAGAAAAGAAACAGGGATGTTAGAAAAATTATTAGCAATGATGCAATTACAGACACAACAAATACAAGAAAACCAAAAAGAAACATCACTAAAAATCGAAGAAAGCCAACGGAAAACAAGACAAGCAATAGAACAGAAATTAGAAGAAAATGATAGAAAAATGGAAAAGCGTTTGGACAAATATGAAAATGAAGTAAAAGTCTGTTTAGAAAAAGTTAGTGAAACAGAGAGGAAACTAGAGATGCAGAGAGAAGAAATGGAAACTAAAATGAAGGATATTAAGGCTGTCCATAAAAAGGAACTGGAACAGTTAGAAGAAAAATTTGAAATGGCGTTACTAGAAGACAGGAAAGAAATGGAAAGGAAACTTAAGCAAAATGAAAAACAAATTGCAGAGATGGAGATAAGAGGAGTAGAAAGAAAGGAAGTTATCGTACATAGCACAGAAGACGTAAAAGTACGATTTGGCGGGGATATAAGGAAACTACACCCAGTGCCTTTTATAAATAACCTAAAGAAAAAAGTCACATACATAGGACCGTTTGCAACAGCAAAGGAAACCATCCGAAACCATCTCAAAGAAGAGGCAAATCTTTGGTTTGTCAGCAAGGAAGAAGAATTTGACAATTGGCAAGATTTTGAGAGAAGATTCTTAAATTATTTCTGGGGAAAAATCCAGCAACTACAAGTAAATAAAGAGTTACAAAATGGAAAATACCATGAGAGGATGGGCGTATCAGAAACGATGTACGCATTACAACTCTATAATAATGCAAAACATTTGCAATATAATTATTCATCAGAACAATTGGTAGAGTTGATATCGCGACACTTTGAAGATACCTTGGAAGACCACATAAATCTCCAAAATTACAAGGACATTGACAGCTTATGTCAATTTTTGCAAATGAGAGAATCACGTAGGCATGAAAGAAGAGAAAGAAGACCGCAAGAAAATTATAGACAAAGAGAAAACCAAGAATATAGAGATAGAGGTCAAAATTTTAGAAGAGATTATCCAAGACGAGAATTCATACCTAGACGGGGATACGAAAATAGACCGAAAGGAAGAGAGAATTATGAACCCAGAACCCAGAGATGGAATGAAAACAGGGATCGGGAAAATCAGAGTAGAAATAACCGCCCATACCAAGGAAACAGATACAATAACCCACGGAATGAACAGGAATCTCGCGGTAACCGATACGGGAATGATAGACCAAAAGAGAACAGAAGAGAAATAAATAATATGCAAAGAGAAGAAAATGAATATGAGAGAGAAGATGACGGGCGAGAAAACACAGAAGAACAACAGGCGTGTTTTCAAGAAGGCGCTCACTAAAAACGAAGAAACAAACAGGAATTTTTTGTCACCCCAAGGAATTTATTAAACTGGCAGGAAACAATGAAAAGAGAAATGGAGTTAATTTAAAGTTTGTGGATGGATTTATAAATGAGAAACCAATTAAAATTATGATAGACACAGGCTCTGAAATAACACTGGTCAACAGAAAATTAATCGAAGAAGTAAATTTAACAAGTCTAATTTATAAAATACCTAGGGTGAATTTAGTGGGCGCAAATAAACGGACATTGGCAACAATAAATGAAGGTATACGAGTAATGGTACGATTGAAAAAAAATATGTATGCACTTCAATGTGTAATAATGCCGAATATGTCACATGACATGATTGTAGGCGTTGACGAATTAACGGAAAAACATGTAGTGATCGACTTCAAAACCAATACGATGAAAATAACAAAGGAAAAAGAAGAAGAACAGGATAAGGAACAAGAGAAACAAATTACGGACGAATCAGAGAAAGAACAAACGGTGGAAATGAACCTGGTGACGAAGAAAGGAAAAGGAAGAAAGAGGGGAAAAGGTCAGAAAAAGATCAAAGAAAAAAAAAACCTGGGATTCCTCAAAAGATGAGACGAGCTCAGGAGAAGAAGCTGGAAAGATTTTGACAAGACATGAAAGCAAAACTTGGGATTCCTCAAAAGAAGAGACGAGCCCAACAGAAGAAAAAACAAAGGAAAATGAAGAGGACACAATGGAGACAGTGGTGTTTGAAAAAGACACGGAGTACACGGTGAATATGTGCGAAGAATTTGATGGGAGAGACACAAAATGGATATGTGGAGAAGGCAAAGAAAATGATAAAAATTAAGATTATTGATATTTCATAAAGACACGGCATATAAAGTTTCAAACATCCTGTATAAGACAAAATATGTATTTTAAGTTGTTCAAAGAATTGTTCATTAGGCCTCAGAGACAAGACTTTCAAATATTATCGATAAGAAATTTAAATAAGTCGGTTATTGTGAAATGGATTTACCCGTAATAAAAGTGTATATAGAAAGTGTTTAAACAATAGACCGGGATGTGCGGTGGTTTTTCCCCCCGAAAGATTATATCGGTAAAAGTTTATTAACAAAAGACATTGAATTGAGAAACAGGTATCGTTTGTAGCTATTAGTAAGAAATATTTGTAAAGCAGATAGATTTAGTTAGAATAATTAAAGAATGTTGTTTTCTGGAATTACCCGAATGACGTTTTATAGAGAGAGTTGGTTGGTAACGATATACGTGACAGAGGTAGAAGATTTTTATTGGTCAATTTTTGAATGCAAGGAGGGAGTGGTTTTAGCTATGAGATAGGAGAGAGGAAAGGAGTTAGTCAGTTTTCGTCGCCCAAGAAGGAAGGAGCTTTGTGGTTTGTGTTTGTTTGAAGTCCCGAAGACGTAATTTACCGGGTGTGTTTATTTGCTGTGTAAAAGTTGATCAGTGTGAGGAACGGGGTACAGAGAGATAGAAAAACCAAAGGGTAGAAGAATATTAATATCAGACGAACCCGGAAACATTTGAAGTTATAAACAGGCGCGGAGATTGGTTCAAAAGGAGGCTGCATAGAATTACACGAGTTGTTGGGTTGCAGATACAAGGACAGATAGGAGAAAGGTGTACGTCTTCTGGACCACAATAGGAGCAGAAGCAGAGAAAGGTTTTGTTTTATGGCGTGGTCATAGAATTGCAACGGCAGAGAACAAAAGGTCAGTCAATTTTCATTAGAGCAGGAGTGTGGTTTTCATTTATTAATTAAATAAATTGAATAAATAATAGAGACAGTTAATTTTGCGATCATTTAAAGAAAAAAATTATAAAGAGAGCTTAGTTATAACACATATTAAAAATCAATGTAAAATAACATTTGGGTCCATGATAGAAAACAACTTCTCATATATTTAAAGTATTATATTGCAAATATTACAGGATTGATTGTTATATAAAATTTCATTAAAATAAAGGACATCTCACATATACTTCAGTTGAAATTCTGTGTATTTTATTCAGGTCATATTACCTATCCCAATTAGGAAGCCAATTGGAAAATATTTTGAATCCACGAACAAAGGTAAATAGTACAAGTTAAATAGCCTGAGATTGTAATTAATTAATGCTGATTTATTGTGATTAATTGGAGATTAGATCATTTAATAAATATAGACAGGATCTTTTCTAAATAAGCAATAGAATACAATTTAAATAGCATAACAATATATATATATATATATATATATATATATATATATATATATATATATATATATATATATATATATATATATATATATATATATATATATATATATATATATATATAATATATATATATATATATATATATATATATATTGTAAAGATTACGACCGTCAATTTATATTAATAAAGTAGGCATACATGTCTGTCTTTTCTGTCTTCGCTTAGAGTGTCTCAGAGTCTAGTTAGACCTTCTCGGGCAGTGGTAGAACGGAAGACAGACCAAGAGAGAGAGAGAGTTCTTAATCAAGATTCCTACATAACAGAATAATTGCACTACATGTAGCTTTATCTACTTTGGATATCCGAAAATAATATGTCTATGATAGTAAAATAATATGTCTATGATCCGTAAATAAATTAAACCGAGTTTATTTTTCTAATGCACATCAGATCAAATTTCATTGAACAGCACTGATTCCGCTTAAAACATGGCTGATCCCGTCTGCGCGTACTTATCTTGACAAGCAGGGTGGGCATTCTGATTTTTTTGTGCTATATATTTGAAACACTTATAAGAACTTAAAAGATGATTACAAGTTCAATTAGTCTAATATTTTCCAATTTAAAGACATAACTGCTAATATTATTTACCTGTTTTTCCTGCGGAAGTATGAGCTGCTACAAATACATGATTATGCTGTTCTAGCTGTAAAATTGCTAGTTTCTGAAATATGTCCAACTCGAAAGTATATTCAATAGCCATTTCTGGTATTCTTTCCTTAAAATCAGTTACAGGTTTAGATGTATCAAGTAAAATTGCCCATTCACTTCCATGTGTAGCTAAATTTTTTGGAACAGCTTTACTTATAAGTAATACTGGAGTCTCTTTAGACAGAATTTCTTCTTCTTCTGGTAATAATTCTTCAACTGTCTTAGAATTTGCTTCAACAGCGTATTCAGATTCAAATGCTCCTATCAAAATAATTTTGATATTAATTAGTTTTCTAAAAAAAATTTCAAAATTATTACCCAATAGTTCTTCTTCTTTAAGAACAGTTTTAAGTAAATTAACTACATTTGGTGAATCATTTTTGATTTCTTGAATTTCATCTAACGTGTCATCTTTAGTACATACGGTCCTACTGTCTTTACAGAATATAAGCCCTCTATCAAATCCAGGTGGTAGATTAAGTAATGGTTCTAAAAATATAAATAACTTTGTAATACCACACAACTATTATTTTTATCATTTTACCAGATTCACAAAGAGTTTCTTCATTCACATAGGACTCTGGGGCTGGAAAACTACCTGGCCAAAATGGTTTGAATGAAGCACTTCCCCTAGTTGCTTCAGATGGAGAGGCTGGAGCTCTATTTAATGACATGGAATTTTTTGCTGTAGCTCCTGCTGATTGGAGCGAGACTTCTTTAAAATCCATGATTTGGCCAGTGTTTGGATCTCTTTGAACCTTAAGCAATTGGGCACAACATAAATAGTTTATGAGATATATAACTCACAGTTTTGAATTTTTAGTGCAATTAATTAAATGGTCAAGTTTGTCGAGATGATTTCGGAGATAGTTTAACAGAAGTATTTCCCACAAAATAAAAATATTCAGCAAAAATCAATAAATACAACAAACGAGCCAAAACGGGTAGAACATTTATACGTAAGAAACAAAACGGAAGTAAATGTTCACGACAGAAACAACAGAGCCCATCGAAAAAAAAGTTACGAAGTTTATTGAAGAAGTAAGAAAAAACCGAGAAAAAAATTGTTTAAACAAATTAGATGGTTTTTAAACAATTTATTCAATTAAATAATACATTTTCGTGATTTGCCCAAAAAGTACATGAAAATTAAAAAAAAAAAGGTCGAAATCCATAAACCAGAGATATAACAAACAGCTCCTTCCCCCTCCATTGCTCCCGCGAGTTTCAAAGTCAGCCGATGTTGAGGACGACATTTTGAAGCTTTGTGGACGATTCTGTTGAAAGGCAATATTTTCGAATTTGACACATTAAAACTTTAAAGTATGTTCTTTCATAGCTAATTAGATATCTCAATTGTTATAACAAAGCTGCTGCCAATTTAAAAAAAGAGACTAACTTCGTCCAAAATTCTCCTAGGACAACTTTTTTGGGGTGACGCGAAATATTGATAGATATTGATTTGGATGATGAATTTAAACAGGATTTTTATGAAAGTTGCAGGCGTTTCTCGATTACAGCTTGTATGGAAGTAAAAAAATAATTAATTTTACAGATCCAGTCATAGACAAGAGACACCTTCTAAATAAAAGTAGTGTTAATAGTTGCCAAGTCTTACCACTAATATTAAAAGTGCTCCTGATTTGTAACCCTCAAGATCTACAAAGAAAGTAAAAGATTGATGACGAATTCTTCTTGATGTGCCTATCCTTTACGAATGTTGGCAATCATTATGGCAATCTTTATCTTATCTGCAGCAGCGTGGAAAAGCTGCACAGATGTTGTATTGAACCAGATTCTGAGGTTATTTAACCAAAATGTTCTTCTTCTTGCTGGACTTCGTTTTCCAAATATTTTTCCTTGCAGGATGGCGTGAAGGAGAACATATCTGGATTCATTTCGCATATGTCTATAACTTTCGCACATATCTTGTAACTTTCGAGATTTGATGGTGGTCAGTACCTCTCGGTTCTTATTCATTCTTCTGAGGACCTCTGAGGAGTATTCTCCGATATAGCCACATCTCAAATGCTTCCAGTTTTCTGCACATATCTTCGTTCAAGATCCACGATTTAGCACGTAAAGGATTTGCCAATATTTCGAAGCCATTAACAAAGTTGACACAAGAAGGCAAAGAATATACATGGAGCGAAGAGTGTCAAAGAGCTTTCGAACACTTACAAATGACTCTGATCAATGCACCGATTTTAAGCTACCCTAGACAGACAGGAAAATTTGTGTTGGACAACGATGCCAGCAACAGTGCAATAGCAGCTGGTGTCTCCCAAATTCAAGATGGACAGGAGAAAGTCATCGCTTACTTTAGCAAAGTCTTATCGAAACCAGAAAGAAACTATTGCGTTACCAGAAGAGAATTGCTAGGCGTAGCAAAGGCTTGCGAGCATTTCCATAAATACTTGTATGGCAGAAAGTTTCTTCTTCGTGCGGATCACGCCGCTCTAAAATGGCTTCTACAATACCGTAATCTAGAGGGCCAGATGGCAAGAGGGTTAGAACGATTACAAGAATATGTGTGAATAGTAATATGTGAATAGTAATAGTAATATATGAATTGTAATCACTGTCTTAAATTAGAAGAACGTCTTTGCCTCGTGAGACGAACCACCGTCATTAATGATCAATGGCAGCCCCAACAGCTACAAGACGCTCAAATAGATGATCCACATATAACAAGAGTATTGTATTGTATAAGAGTATTGGATTTTATACGTCGAAGTGAAAGACCTTCTTGGCAAGACATTAGTGCATGTAGTCCAGAAGTCTTGTCTAGTGCTGGAGCCAATGGAATTGCCTAGTGCTAAAAGATGATCTTTTTATATATACAACATTTGAGAACGATGATGGTACAGAATCTAAGCTTCAGTTGATTGTACCTAAAAGTAAAGTGTCAGAAGTATTGCGTCAGTTGCATGACGGTGCATCAGGTGGACACTTTGGTATTACGGAGACTGCAAAAGGTTCGAGAAGGTTCTATTGAGTGAACTATAAATATGATGTAAGAAGATGGTGCCGGATATGTGAACTGTGTGCAACCAGTTCAGTTGGTAAAAAAAGGCACCCGTTAAACAGTACAATGTTGGTAGCCCTATGGAAAGAGTAGCAATCGACATTGCAGGTCCACTTTCAGAGACGAATGATGGAAATAAATATATCCTAGTAGCCATGGATTAAATTACGAAATGGACTGAGGCCTATACGATACCAAATCAAGAAGTTGCTACCGTTGCAGAGGCACTTGTTAGATAATTCTTTAGCCGATTTGGTGTTCCCTTGGAGATCCACGACCAAGAGCGAAACTTCGAATCAACCCTTTTTCAAAAGGTTTGTAAATTGATTGGTGTCAATAAGACCAGAACGACACCCCTGCATTCTCAATCAGATGGAATGGTCGAGAGGATAAACCGAACGATGGGTAAACACCTGTCCAAAGTTGTATCAGAACATCAAAGAGATTGGGGCCAGCACATTCATTTATTCTTAATGGCCTACCGCTCGGCCGTGAATGAAACTACAGGCAAGACTCCAACCTGCCTGATATTAGGTCGTGAAGTTCGTTTGCCCTGCGACCTAGAGTTTGGCTGCAGAGCTTCTGAAGAACATGTTGCAAGCGAAGATTATATCGACCGCCTAAAGTTAAGAATGAACAACATTCATGAACTTGCCCGACAATAGATCCAAGTAGCCAGTGACAGAATGAAGGATCAATATGATTCTCGATGCAAGAATGAAAGCTATGAAGTAGGTGATCTTGTTTTTCTTTATAATCAACAACGTTGTCGTGGCTTGTCTCCTAAACTGCAAAAACGATGGGAGGGTCCGTATGAAATTTAAAAGAGAATAAATGACGTAATATACTGAATTAAGAAGTTACCGAAAGGTAAACCAAAAGTAGTTCACATAAATCGTCTTGCACCTTATGCTGGCTCAAATGAAACAGAAGAAGCATGAACCCTTCAACATGAGATCAAAGATGATCGGCGACCAAGCTTAATGAATTTATGTCAAATTACGCAGAGAGAGTGCTAGATTCGGCGTAACCACAGAAGTTCAGCAGGATCTTTTTATTGCAGCCCAAGATCTTGAGAGGACTAAAGGAATCACATCCGTATTTTATAAGAAGTTCGGTCGTTTGGACGAGTTAAAAAATCAGCAGTCTAACGTTGGAAGAGTACTGAGATTAGAAGATGATCTTTGCTGTATATGGTGACCAGGAAGTTGTATACAGACAGGGCAAGCTACTAGGGCATATGGCATGCTCTAACTAATTTGAAGAAAATCGTGTGCAATTATGACATCAGGAATTTGGCTTTACCCAAGATAGGCCATTTACTAGAAAGAAGATTGTAAAAAGCATGCTTGAAGTGATCTTCTGAAAAACCGGCATACAAATTAATGTATGTTGTATTAATCCAAAAAGATCGTGTCCCTCAAAGACAGTAGACTATTTCTTTCCGAGGTATTCATGCAGAGCTGGAGTCCTGTAGATTCCGCCATCCTGGGTCTAAATATAGAGTTGCTGATCGGGACGCTCAGATCTAAGAGGGGAGCAGTGTTACGAACATGCATTCGACGTAGCCCATATAACGGTTGCATCTCGAAACGACGAGAAGCTTCCAGATATGTATCGAGCGCGGGAGAGATCAATCCGTCAAACAAACGAATTAAAGGTAGACTATTCCAGAATATTCTAGTACATAATAACTTTTATACATCAGTAGCTCCGATATTAGCTAAGTGGAGTAGATAAGATATTTTCGTGCTGTAAACTTATAAATAAATATATTTATATAAATTAAGAACCACTCATTTTATTTAAAAACAGCACAATATAATAGCGATATTACCGTAACCGATGATGATATGCAATATTGTGCAATACCATTTACTCTTAGACCCGGATTTGACATAGATCCAAGTGAAAATTATCTCATAGACTATTTCGATCTGATAGCCAATGACTAATTTACGAACTAATTATTTCAAGTGTGGATCTTCCATCATTACAACAAAATACATCCAAATCCTCTAGAGAGCCAGAAATTATTCTTCCATTAGCATTAGTAGTTACCTGACTTCCCCAAAGTGCATTATGTGCATTCAGATCCCATTATAATTTTATTGGCTCTGATTTTATCTATTCGCCCAACCCATCCATTTAAATCTATTTTTGTCCCAGGATGAATATAAATATTAAGGATTATATTATCCCAATATATTATTTTAACTGCTAAAATTTGAATTTTACTGTTATTGTTATAAGTACATACTATTTTACAATCCACAAACTATTAACAACAGCAGTAGCAATACCACCATAACCATCTAATATATCCAATAGATGTCTTCCATACCCTCTTAAATAAGAATAATGATTTATTTTCAACTATGTTTTGTTTAATATTACTTTTAAAAATCTTTAAACTATTATAATTACTGTTTAAACTTTTTGTGTTCCATTGTAGGATGTGTGTGTTCTTGAGATCCATCTAGATTTAGTAATTTTTTGTTTGTTGATGTTTCATGTGTAATTAGGTGATTAGGTCTTGATTATGTCTCCAATTCAGCTTGTTTAATATCGCATTCAATGTTTTTTTAGTTTCTCTCTCTAGTTGTTCCATACATGAACATCCAGGGATAGGAATTTTAGAACTTGCTGGGAAGGGTCCCTCTTCAAACCTCCCATTTGGAGATCTTAAATTTTGATTAGAAAGCTCTTTGTCATAAGTTTTATTGGACTCATTCATTTTTATTTTATTTATGCTCCCTCTATTTTCTCTTTTTTGCTAAACCACTGTTCTGGGTTACTTTGAATATTTTCTATCCAATGCTCATTAATTGGAATTCTATCTGTTATATTAACCTGATTTGATAGAGGTGGAAATTCATCCTGGCTTACTCTAAATGTATTTTCTATTGATAACTTTTTATTGGAGATATATGGATACCTTTCACTTGCCACAAAATAAGAAAGATTATCTAAAGACATAATAGATTTAATATTTTATTGTCTGACATATTCAGGACACTCTTTAAAATACTTACAACATGAAAATTACTATTACAATGTTGACATGTTTCATCATACATTCCCTTCATGTGCTTTATTAGTACACTTTTTACATTTTTCATTCCTTCTACATTGATGTTTTGTATTACCAAAATGAAACCAATGATAGCATTGAACCACCATAATCATATATGGCTTTATCCTAAAAGGAATCCCATATATAGAAACCTCTTGTGGAATTTTTTGTCCTGAAAAGGTAAATGCAACTGTCTCTGTATTTATATATTTACCTATTATGTTTTGATTTTCTTTTGAAACATCTGACCTCCAAAATTTTAATATTTACTGAGGATGTAACTGAAAAACTAATTAATTCAATATCAGAAATACTTGCATCACATTATTTACTATATCCCTACAGGTTACTTTATTGGCAGGAATAAAGAGTTTCATATCCATCATTTTTAATCTCTATATTCGAAACGAATTTATTAGCACATTCCCATTTCTTAAAAACAAGGCTAATTTGATTTTTACATTTTTTTATTAATTTTTTGTACATTCTCAATTTTCTTATCATGTATATATTTGACTAGCTTTAAAAACTATAATTTCTGGCGTTATTGTTTTTTGAATCCATATAGACCTCGAATGGGCCAGTGTTGGTATACTGATAAGAATACTGTTTTTTGTCTTTTTACTATCGTAATGATTAGTGGTCTCTGAATTACCATTATTTTCAACAAATGATTTGTCAATTTATATTCCACTCTAAATCTGAATCATCTATCTTACTTATTACTATCTTAACACTAGGGCGGCCAACCCCCTGTGCTATCCTCCATCATTAAGCCTCTTTAAACTTTGTTTTTTTTCAATTGATTATATACAATCAAAATTACTTATATACAACTAAAAGTTAGATTAAAGTTTATATAGATAGGAAGTTAGTTATCTCTATTAGTTATCAAAAGTTTTGTCTTTTTTTTCCCACCTGCATTTTGAATTTTAATTCACTTCTACTATAATACAACCTTTCTCCAAAATAGCCAAATCACTTAATTTTCTTTGTAAACAATCCCATCTGACAGCTAATCAGTTGACAAATTTGGTTGGTTGATACTGCCCAAGACCAGTGTAATGAGTGCAGATAGTCACCCTCGCAGAACCAGGTTTAGATTTATGGATTTTGGCTACACTTTTTAATGGAACAGAGTGGTGTAGCACTACACCTTGCAAAGGAACAACTTATTGTAGCACTTCTATACTTTTTTGGAACTAGTGCTAAACCAGAAAACAAAGAAACAGACCTAGTAAGTAGGTATTCCGAACTGTCAATTTAGTATGATTATTTAGATGGTATCCTAACTGTGGGTATCCTGTGGTATCCTAACTTAGGGTCAGATCTTTTAGTCTATAATTTATTACTTATTAAACTCAAAATGCACAAAAAAAAACAAAAGCAATGGAAAGTTGTCCAGCAAATAGGATGTAAACTGTAAAAATAATAGAAATGAGAAAATTGTCTACACATTTTGAAAAACTGTCTGTTGTTTCAGTGAAAAAACTGTTTTGCTACCGAAGTTGGTATGCCACTTTGGCCACTTTTTTTGTTAATGAGTGATAAGCCTTACTTGGAGTGTGGTAATTGAAGGAGATTCTTCAAAGCATAATAATTCTTTCGGTATTGGCTTACGAGACCAAAATTTCTGATTTTTTTCATACTGATGGATTGGTAAGTTTTCTGGACATAAAATGTACTTCTTTAATTCACTGTCTACTGAAGTTAATATCGGAGGGGCCTCCATAATAATGAATCTAAATTATGAAAATAAATAAGTTAATATAGTCAATTCACGGACGATTTTCACATTTGGTCCCATTGAAGTTAGCATCAAATTAGCTGTCGGCTGTCAATTAATTTTCACAGAACGAAATATTGCGTTGGCAGTGTTGCCAAGTTATTATAATGTATATGTTATATGCTTCAAATACAAAGAGATAAAGCTTTTAAAAGGTACATTTTTATCATATTATTTTATGGATTCTGCAATTTTATACCTTATATAAAATATTAATGAAGTAATATTTGTTTCGTTTGATATTAAATGTAACAAATTATCAGAAAATTTTTTTAGCAATTGCCCTTTGGTAGGTTAGTGGATAGATTTGGCAATAGAGTCAGAGCCCTCAAACCACCAGCTGCCAGATTCATGGCCTGGAATCTTATATGACTAACCTTGAACATTTCCCCCATCACTTTGACTCCAGTCGGTTAATAAAGAGAGATGACAGCCTATCTCGCTCACGAAGACTTTAACCAATCATTTTATTTTAACACCATCTCTGAATGTCACAAATAAAATAATCAAAGGAAGCTTAATTCCGACATGTCAATTCCGTCAAAAGTAATGACAAGTTGATGATTTGTCATCGAGTTAGAAGTTCGGTGGAATCTATTTGTATATTTTCGAGTTTCGTCCATTTTCGTCTTCCACGTGCTTTGGCTTGTTTACAGTTTTCATTTTTAATTTAATTATCTTTAACTTTCGTTTGTATTTAGTCTTAGTAATTTAAGTTGGTTCCTTAGTTTTTAAAGTTTAGTTAGTTGATACCTTAGTTTTCATTTTTAATTTAATTATCTTTAACTTTCGTTTGTAATTTAATCTTGATAATTTTAATTTAAGTTGGTTCCTTAGTTTTTTAAGTTCGGTTAGTTGATTCTTTAGTTTTTTCAGTTTAGTTTTATTTGATTCCTTAGTTTTTAAAGTTTAGTTATAGTTCCTATAAATAAAGATTTTCGTCTCCCTACAAAACTTGTGAAAAAGCAGATAGGTATTGTCACATCACTCACGATATGTGAGATTATTCCATTGGAAAATAATAAAATATTTTGAATTTCCCACTAAATTTTAATTAGTACCGAAATGACCCACCAGAGGCGCTAAAGGGATAAAATTAATAATTAACCATTTGAATTTCCCGCCGAATGGTGATTAGTATTGACTCCACTCACGAGTGCTGCTAATAAACCAGATTTATATATAGAGTTGCCTATCTATCTGTATATACTATATATTATTTATCTATGGCCAGATTGCAGCAAATGCCTTTTAAATTTTATTATTTATACTGACATTTTACTATTTACTGTTAAAAACTGTTTTAAAACTATTTGCTTTTTCTTTTTTTCGTAATCGTTAAATATTAGTTTTTAAATATCTTATTGCTTTTAATTGCGTATGTTTCGTTTGTAATGTAAATTTCAACACTGCGAAACACCAATATTTCATTCTGTCAAACCCATTTGAAGCTATCTTCAATGGGACCAAATGTGAAAATCGTTCCAAAGTTCCGCTTTTTTATGTACTGTCTATATTCTTTGATACTACCCACAAACCATAGTATGTATGGTTTGTGATACTACCACTTGTTCATCTTTGAAAAATGATTTCAAGATTCATCTTGTTGATACAAATCATATTTTTACTTATGAGAATTAGCAAACATATATCATCGTGATAACTAGAATAATAAAACAATTGTAACGAATTATCTAGAAATCAAATATTTTTACACTTTACCTTAAAAAAACATGTTTTGGATATATTAAACTATACAATTTTTAATTAATCATGATTTAACATTTTCGCTTTTAATTATTTTATTAACGTAAATAATTTTTTATTTTATTAAAATATTTGCTATTTGATCCCATAATTGGTAAATGTCAGATGTCCAGAAAACGTCCGAATTCGGACGTCCATGGAACGTCCGAGTATGGACGTCCATGGAACGTCCGAGTACGGACGTCCAGAGAACGTCCATATTTAGTCCACCCAAAGTACGTCCCACTTCGTACGTCCATTTTACGTCCAGGACGTCCGGACCAAAACTGGACGTATATTGGACGTCCATAGGACGTCGTGTGTTACTAGGGGTGTTAACTTATATTTTGGAATGTCCCTACTGTCTTGAATTGACGTTTCATATAATCTGCTGGTTTCTGTGTTCCATTTTAACCTGCTGATCCTGGCTATAAAAGGGCTCCTGTCATTATACCTAGTCCACTAATGGCTTCTAAGCATTTGTGGAGAGTACCATGTAATGTTTTCAGCGCCTCTGCTGACGTTTCTTTTATCTCCGCAGCCTGAAGTATCTTGTCTGTTGATATAAATAGATTCATTCTTGGACTATCGTACCGATCTTGCAACATTTTCCAGGCAGCCCTGTAGTTTGCTTCTGTTGTGTTTAAATGTTGTATTTTTCTACTTGCTTCTCCTTGGAGGCTTGTCTTGCCCCTTTACCCCTTTGCTCCCAATGCCCCCCTGACCAAAGCGGTCAAAGGGGCATTATAAAATGATTCGATCCTCATATCTACATTCGAATCTGTTCATTGTCCGATTCTTCTCGATCGACGATGATAAATACAATAAAACATTGAAGTTGTGGAGTAAAAATGATGGTTTTATTCACAACTACTAATAATTACACTATATTTTGAAATAAGGTTGAATGCTCGAATTATCAAAGTACACTATATATGTTGGTTAGGTAACTATCTATAACAGACTGCCCTCAAATGAGCTCAAATCTCCAATTCATAATCTCACAAATAATGTATACATCAGCACAAAGGTTAATGCTTCTATCATATTAACAAACTTTAAACTATGAGGTTAAAATACAATTTAATCTAGGCCGTAATTGCAACACTTAGGAAGTTCAATTAGAAAAATATATTATTCGACAATTTATGAAGAGGCGAATAGACTTTAATTATTAAAATATTACTCGATATAGTTTTACAATCTCACAATTATACACGGGGAAACTATAAAAGATTAAGAAGTTAAGAATAATGTGAGATTACAAATTAAGGGATTAATTTGTGATTGAACATCGGTATCGCAACAACACGGGCGGCCTTAAAGCCTAGTTCGCACTATGCTAATATTTTAGTCGAGTAACGAGTAATTTAATAACTAAAATACATAGCACTGCCCAAAAATCGTTCCCACTTTTTCTAGTAGGGTTCATAAGTGGGTTGGGTTTCGCAAGATGAACAACCTATATCGCAATAATGTAAATAAACTGAATAAGCTTATCGTAACGGCTGTTTGAGGAAATTTGTGTGATTAATAAAAAGAAGCTATGGATACGAAATTGGAGCGATAAAAGGGATAAACTAGGAGCTACCAATTGTGTTCTAAAAGGAATTAGCATTGGAAGACCCCAAAGGATACTTCGATATTTTTTGAATGTCTAAAAGTTGTGTAAATTTTCTGATAATAAAAAAACGGGTGTGGCACTCCAGTGCATGGGACTGCCGGTAGAAGTTATATTTCTATACACGCGTTCACCGTTAAAAATTTATATGAGAGTCAATCTGCACAATCATTACATATGTAATGCTGTAGTTAAAAGAGAGCAAGAAAGAGAAAAAGAATTAGTTATATAGGTATATGGTGCATCGTTTGCTGTATATAAACATTTGACCTGTAATACGACTATAGTAAATGAAGGTTTGTATCAATATTTTAATCAAAATATATATTTTTGTTTTTATATGTATAAAAGGAGTTGAATGCAAAAAAATTTTTTTAAACATACTCTGCAGTAAAATTCATTGTATATTTTGTTATTAATATAAAAATTACAATACAATAAATACACTGCAATATAATTCAATGTAATAATACAATATAAATTAAAATGTAATATTTAAAACTGTCAAGATACATAACTTACTTTACGAAGATAAAAATAAAAACCAACAACTCGGATTACGTTGTAAATTTTCATTTTATTTTAAAATTTAGCATTTTTGCGTATATTACATATATTTAATAATATTAACGTGAGGTTTTTAAATATTCAAAAAATAAAAAAGGAAATTCATGATTCCCAGACAGCACAAGTACGTCCCATGGACGTCCGAATGATGTACCTCATTAAATGTCCGGACATCCGTTTACATAATTTGGACGTCCCCGGGACGTCCAATAAGACCTAAATGTTACCAAAAAGTACGTCCCTTGGACATCCTAGGGAGGTTCATGGGGACGTACATAGTACAAATACAGAACTTAATACGGACTTATATAGGACCTAAAAAGGATGTATTGGGGACATCCATTGTACGTCCACATGGACTAATACAGGACCTAAATGAGGATGTATACAGGACCTAAAGGGAACTTACAAAAAACTAATAAAATAAAAAGCAAAAATAAATGGGATTTTTATTGTGTACTTATATTAACATATTATGTATTTAAATTTATAGTATTTTTAAGCACATACTAGTACTTACTTTACAAATGTAGCAACTCACACCACAACCACAAAAATTACCTATAATACCTACTTAATGTCTATAATAATAAATTACCAAACTATAAACTAGTATCAAAATGCAATAAACTAACTCTAATTACAACCACAACCACAATGATTATAATTCGACAAATAAAAGATTCCGAAAATCGTCGTTTATTTGATTTTATTAGTTTGATTATAGTTTTCTTAGTATATTTTATTTTTTAGTCATATCTATATAGTTGTTATAACAACCCAACGTTTGTTTTGTGGTTATAAAATAGATTTATATACAACAACACCTCTGCGCATGTCGCTGATTTTTAGTCCGCACTATCGTTGGGGATTTTAACAACCGTTGGAAACTGAATTCTGATTAATCACTTTGTTACTGCGAACAGCAAACTTAAAATTGCCAACCGTCAGAAGTGTTTCTACGAACGCTAACTGTTAACTGCGCGTGCGTCTGATGGTTGGCAATGGTTGCTGATCGTTCTACGAACAAACCTAAACATAAACCTAAATAACATAAATATAATATAATTAAACATAAATGTAAACAATTGCATAACCTCACAAATCATATGTTTGTCCCAATGACGTATAATATATAGACTCGGTGAACGCTTTAAAAAGTGTCCAAAACATGAATACCTTTGTTATTGTTTACTGTTTTGATACGAAGATGCACGAAGTTCATGATTTCTTAACGAAGCATCACGAAGTTGATCTTGTGTTTGAAAACATCATGGACGTATGAAAACATTTTCTCCATTGTGAGTGACAAGCAAATTTTATTTTAAATTGTTGAAGTCATTTACTTACTATTTTAGTAAAATGCCATACTATTTTATCAAAATAATTATTTCTCTTATAGACGGGAACAAATAGAAATCATAAATATTTAATTTTAATTAAAAAAATAATTATTGTTATTAACATATAAATGAGCACGTCGCTGTTCTGATAAACATACCTTCAACCTTGAGCCGAGATCTTTCGGACACTCGATTCTATTCGCTGTGAGCCGATGAGTAGAGGGGATTTGACAGTTTTCACCAACTCTGTTAGTGGCAATTTTGTGCATTTAACTTGTAAACATTCAAATAATGGCGAATATGGATTTTTCAAAAAGAAAAATATATGATACATGTAAAAATACTGTGTACAACAGTCATTGTAAATTTTATTCATTTCCTGTTGCCAAGCATAAAATAGTTCAAAGAGAAAAATGGATTATTGCTATCTACGAGAAAAATAAGTAAATAACCTATAATGCAAACATGATATTTGTATGGTGTAAAATTAAAAAGCTATTATATTCCGAAACATTGCGTACATGCCCTGCATCAACTAAACCTTTTCCCTTTTTTGGCGTAGCTGGTTGAAATGGGATATCATGTGATATAGACTTAAAACCAGTATAATGTTTAATATCCATTTTGATAAAATTAAAACAAATTTAAGAGGTGGAGGCCATAAAACGAAAGAAGAAGAAGAAGAATTAAAACAAATTGATATCTAAGCACTAAGGCCTACGCACACAAAAAATAACTGAACTGAGCAAAAACAGAATAAAAATTAAAATAAAAACAAGAATTACAACGTTACAGAGGTAAAGGTAACCAGAATATAGACGTTTTAAGCGTCTTATAACCTTAAATATTTGCTTTAACCATTAAATATTTTCATATAAACTTCTTCTTTTTCTCAATGACCTCTTGCGTAAGTAGTCATCCAGTCGCAAGAACTTATATCTTAAATATTATAATTATAATGAATAAAATAACAAGGCGTAATTACTTTTACTATTAATTCTGTGTATTCGTTCATTAATCAGTTTACCATCATATTTCAGTTCATTATTTTGTATTTTTAAATAAATATCTATTTTTCTCGTTTTGTCATATTTCATTTACACTGATTTTACCAGAAAAGTACAAGTTTCAAACCGCGAGAGAGCGCTACCGGCGAAACTCACAGCGAATAGCGAGAATAGGGGACTGCGTAGTCTATATATTATACGTCATTGGTTTGTCCTAAAACATGGCGCGCGTGCTGAAAAACTTCAAAGGCGGCATCTGAGAGTGGCCCTTCTGATTGTTTATTATTCTGTGACTCGACTAGCAAAGTCCGAATTACGCCTAAAGACCTTAGAACATAAAATACACAAATATATTTTATGTTCTAAGCTAAAGACGGAGTCCCATGCATCTGATTTCCGAAGACACAATAATCCGAAAGTATTCTCATTGGTTAGAATCGAATCAGAATATTCTCGCGCCGAATTTCATCCGAAATTTTTAACTACGCTTCCGACATCGGATAAAGATAAAATTATTTTAACTTTGTCCGACAAAACGGATGTTTTGTAACCTAATTGTATTCCAATAGTTTAACATCTATACATTTAATTTATTGAAACATTAATTTTAATCGAAGAAACTATGTTCGTAAAGTTAATAAAACGCTATTTTATGTCTGCTTCTTTTAATTCGCAAAAAAAAAACAAAACGTACAATTCGACAAAGAAAAGATTGGGTTAGTTAAATATTTCAGTAAAAAAGTCACAAGGGGCTTTTAAAAATCTATTGCACTCTTGCAGGAAAAGCTACATAGTTTCTTCTACGTTATCCATAATAAACTGAGTAATTGAAAGCAGGAGAAGGGATTATATACCATGCGGAAATAATCCCTTCTGCTGTTTTACTACGAAAAGTGGTAAAACAGAAATTACCTGCCAAACCACCAAACAATAAACAAAAAATTAACAGTTTATATGGATGTTCGTATCCGACAATCGCATCCATGTGACTAGCTTCCAAATAGCAACTACGAAATATATACTTAATCTATGACTACGAAACCGAAACCATACGATTTTCGGATGTCGGAAATCGGATACATGGGACTAACGAACCATAAAACCGAGGTTTTATGGTGAAAATTCCACCAGAAAACTGGTGGAATTTTTAGTAACTTTCTTGTGTTTGTGTGTAAATCAAACTTTTCAAAATTTTTTTAGTGAATGTATTTTTAAATACAGATTTGTCTTTAAAGGGAGTATTATTTAATAATATTAACGTTTAAAATGTTTTAACTATCTTTGTTAGTATGTACATGACATGAATTAAGTGGATTACATTGATTACATCACAGATTCTTTAATAATTTATGCACTTTGGAGTACTGTCAATATACGTTTTAATTTTAATTTTGTAATGTTGTCATCTTGTGTCTTGTTGGTGTCTTGTAAAATCTATGATAAAATTCTTGGTGGTGAATTGAATGGCCGACAGGCCGAATAAATTAATTATAGGATAATTGTTTTCAAAATATCCTGTTTAAACAATTGAAATTTATTTAAAAGGTAATTATTTATTTTTATAAAGTGGATAATTCTTATTAAAATATGTTAATTCTGTATATCTTATATTAGAGCAATATTATATGAGTGACATTTTCGGCAAATTGTGTCACTAATTTAAGGAAAAAAACTGTATACACTTTTACAATTGAGGGGCGTAATTCATCTAATAAATGAAACTGCTTGTAATTTTCATTTTTTAATTTAGTGTATTTCATTTTTAAAGAGGCGATTTATTTATAGAATCGCCGCGTTGGTTAACCGAATATTTTTGATAACGGGACATGTTTGAGAAACCGGTATGGATTGCATTTTATCTTTTGCAAGGCAGAAGGTGATACAAATTCATGTATTCTTTAAGCATTTGATCATGAATTGCAATAATATGTTTAAAAGGTATTTAAATGGATTTTATAGGTTACCACACCCAGACTTTTGGATATGGTAGGGTTATAAATTTGAATGGCTGTAGATATTTACTTTTTATTCATAGTCCTTATATGACAATCATGAAAAATATATACTAAACACATCTTGCCCTTATAAAATGAAGCTATTTGACTAGTTTATTTCATTCAAAGAGTTTGATAGTCAATTCTAATCTTACATTGAATTCACAATTTTCCTACATATAATAAGTTTTCTGTAATACCCAAAATGTTGCTTAAGTTGATTTGCTTTGCAAACTAACTGGATTATTGCTACAACTAAACCACCTATTATTACCATTCTCATGGGTTTTCGATAGTATAAATCAGCACATTATATGAAGTTTTCCGAGAATTTTAGGTGAAAATCATAAGTGGTTTATACAATGATATTTCAACAAAGTATGTTTCTTTGATTAGGTATGAAATGGTAACTAATGGGTATATATTAAAATAAAGAGATTATTATTAGTTTTTGTTGTAATGTATATTGTCTGTCTCCATAGACCTCTGTCTCTGATCATTTCTTTTAACTCATGCTTAGGTCTTTTGAATATGCCTGTAATTTGATCTAACCATCTTGTTCGATATCTTCCTCATAGCCTTCAACTGTTCCTTGGGTAATAAGTCTTATATATTTTCTATGTCTGCTATCATAACATATCCAAAGTATTTAAATTGTAAAATAAAGATGAACTTTGCTGGATAGCTGTTTGCTGACTTTCAGTTTATTTAAAATTGAAATATTTGTCCCCTGGTCGGTCCACTGAATTTGTAGCATTCTTCCCCAACATAACATTTCAATGGCATCTTATCTTTCTTCTTTCTGCTTGTGGTAGGGTTCTACATTCACATCTCTATGTTTGCAATATGTAAAGCATATTCCTTTTCAATTTGATCTTTCTCTGCTTTAGTGTTATGTAGATTACAAGTGAGATACTGATTTCTTTTCTGTTCAAAAAGCCAATATTAAACTCAGTATTGAATATGTGTCTAAACTGACTTTTGGTGACTGGCTTATCGCTTGCATAATTCTCTAATAGTGATGTAACGAATATTCGCATTCGCGAATATTCGCATATTTTTGCATATTCGCATTTGCATTCGCATTCGCAAAATTTGTGCGAATGTTTTGCGAATATTACACAGCTTGCATTTAGCTCGTTCAGTATCGAAAAGTGGTGAAAAATAAGTCCATATTTCACTATAATTTGATTTACTCATAGTAATAAATCGCTAATCATACTTTAACTAAAAATTCACTGGTATTTGTGCACGAGCAGAGCAGGGCAAGTGGAGTGACTTGTGTCCCGTAAAATTTTTATTGGAACTATAACCAGAGAACTTAGTTCTCTGGAATAACTTTCTCTCTATAACAAGTCAAATTTGATTATAACAAGAGAAAATAAGATCGAAAAACGTGCTTTTTACGTTTTTGGTCCGGACGTGACTATAAATAAATACCTTTTTAAACGACCCCTCAATAAACTTAACCGCCTACAATAAACTTCTTTACAATAAATACAACTGTTTCACATCTTTACTCTAGCAAATATGATAGAATGATACTGGACAATTTAAAGCAGTTAAAAATGACAGACTTTTTCCAATTGCCTACACACCTCGCGCAAATGAGACTGCCGGCAGTGCCGGAGACAATTAAAATTGCCAAATTAAAAAAAAACTGAATATTCGCATTCGCGAATGTCGGTGGCATATATTCCCATTCGCATTCGCGAATATTTAAAAAATGACATTTGTTACATCACTATTCTCTAACATCCATTCATTATGTAGTGAATACAATTTGGAAGCGTTAAAGACTCGCCAAAATACATCTTATTTGTTCTTTTCTTGCATAGTGAGGTTCTTTTGCTGGAATCAAGTTTGTATGTGGATGAATGGAATTTTTAATATTTATATCTACAGCATTTGCTCTGTTGTTATGGCGACCAGACATATCTCCAGGTATAATGGCTCCACTTTCCTAACCATTAATTTTATTGAATAGCAATTGTGTAGTAACCACATATCTGTTATGTTAAAAGTGTCCAAAAATGTTTTTTTACAAACTTAGACTGAGTGTTCTGCTAATTGCAAATTATACATCCAGTTTCTTCTGGACTCTTTTAACTCTTTTAACTTTACAACCTTTCTCTCTTGTTTGAAAACATATCTACAGCTAAACAGATTTAACTGCTACGGTGACAACCAGACACGACAGATGTTGGTTGATTTGGTGTTGCCTAATCAAATATTATTTTAGAGGTTGTCCATTGAACTGTAATACTAATATTCCATAATTACTGTAATGAGTTTATAATTATATTTATTATCAGAACACTAATATCAAAGTTAAAATGTTTGAGATAGTTGATAAAATATCGATACATTTTTGGCAAAGTAACGTAAGTCACCAAAAACGGTTTGTAGAAAAAACAATTTTTTAATTCAACCTGGTTAAACTTATTTAAATTATGACTGAAAAAAACTTGCTCTACTTGTCCTAAAAAAGGTTTAAAGTAATTCTAGGGTTACTACACTTTTTCAGTACCTTTTTAACAGTAATAGCATTAGTTTAATTGAAAAACATTATTTTCGCCAAATATGTCACTTACATTACTTTGCCAAAAATGTATCGATATGTTATTTGCTGAAGTTATTAGTCATAATCATTAAAATGAACTGAACTTTTTTGCAATATTGCTCATTAGTAAATAAGTTTCGTCAGTAAACACTAATGTATTTGCATCTCTTGCTTCCTTGATTTTCCTCATGGAGGCTTAAATGTCTAATTTCGTGTTTCTCTGTCAATATTTTTCTGTTGATTTTTTTTTTCAGCGAAACCCAAGTTTGTAGAATTTCATTCCCATAGTTTCTCTACTTCCTCGTAATTCAATTTATTTACAAATTTTTGGTGAATTTTTTAAATTGGGGGAACTTGTTTATTGCGAAGATGAAAATCGTATATTATATATTTGTGTCTGTAATATACTTATGTACTCACATGGATACTCACATATTTATATAATCACATGGATCTAGCTGTATTTTGACTTTTTTTGTTGTTTTTTTTTTGTTTATTAGGTGTGGAGAATTCTGAGGTGTCTCCATTTTCAACCTCATGACCCTCTTTAGTGATGTTTCTGATGCTATATATATATATATATATATATATATATATATATATATATATATATGATTAACAATGATATGATATGTTAAATATGATTCTAATATTCTTTGTGGTGATCTTAACATGATTATCTTAAAGAGTCAAGGCAAAAATCTATATTGAAGGATTTTATGATTAGAACTGTAAAGATAATGAACCAACTAGAATATTTACAAATAAAAACGGTGTAATTTCACGATTGAAACTAGATTATTTTCTTACCAATATTCCTCAATTATTCAATGAGGTTGTCGTGAACTACAATTTAGGTGATCATCTAGAACTTCATTTTAGTTTAAACATATTTGAGAGTAACAATACTGCTGCATCCCAGATATCTACTTATAGAAACTTATCAAAGAATTGTTTGTCTAATCTTTTGTTGAGTCTTGATTCTGAGAATTTCGAAAATGTTTATACATATTCAAATGATGTAGATGATGCATATAGAGCTTTTTTGAACTCTGTCTCCTATCTTATTGATACAACATGTCCTTTAATATCAAAACGCATAACTACTAATACCAACAGAAAATGGATCAATACTGAAATTCTTCAGATTAGTAAAAAGCTGAAAGATTTATTTTGGCTAGCAAATGTTAGTGGTAATTCAGATTTAATGTATAACTATAAAATACAAAAGGCCAACTTTATTCGTAAGGTAAAGGATATAAAAAAAGCATCATATCAAAGTTATTTACATAATCAAAATAATAATAAAAGAAGGAAGGAGATATGGAAAACTGTGAATTGTCAAACTGGTAAAAATAAAAACAATTTTGAGTGGAGCATTACTGATAATAATAAATTATTGATACATCCAGAATACATAGCAAACAAATTTGGTGAGTATTTTTGTACATCAGTCAAACACACATTATTAAAACAATTCAATAACTATACCTTTAATGATTTCACAACTATGACAATTAACAACACATTCTTTTTTTCTGAAGTCTCACCATTTGATATCGAGAATGCTATATCTTCTATGCTATGCTGTTTTGTCTTACATCATCAACCTATCTGTCAAGGATGGCAAGTTTCCAAGTGACCTTAAAACGGGAGTAGTCAGTCCAATTTTCAAAAAGGGAGATCCATATTTGGTTGATAATTACAGGCCAATCACTGTAACAAGTGTACTCTCTAAGATTATTGAAAAGTGTATTTATAGTAAAATGTTAAATTTTCTGAATAAATATGATATCTTAAATAAATGCCAGCATGGGTTTCTTCCTAATAAATCTACAGAGAGTGCTTCTATTTCATTATTTAATTATATCCACGCTGCTTTGGATCGAAAAAGGTATGTGGATGCACTCTTTTTTGACTTAACTAAGGCTTTTGACTCTATTGACATTGAAATTATACTGCCTAAATTAGAAGCCCTTGGTTTTCGGGGTTATTTCTTGAACTGGTTAAGGTCATACTTACAACATCGTAAATTCCTAGTAAAAGTCGATAATAAGAAGTCATGTTTCTTGTCATGTAATCTTGATCGAGGCTCCGTATTGGGACCCCTAATAGTTCTTTTATATGTCAATGATTTGACACATTTTTTAACTGCAGACTGTATAGTTCTTTATGCAGATGATTCAACAATTGTAATTGACGAGTCAAATGAAGTCGAACTCATATCAAAAATGAACTTAGTAGCACAGGAATTTACAACCTGGTGTAAACTGGCGGAACTCTTTAATGGTAAATTCAAAGAAAACTATTTGTATGCAGTTCTACTCACGCTTTAAACCATCCCATGGTTATAAAATCACAGTTAGTTCTGAGGAAATACCTTTTAGTGATAAGACATTGTTTCTTGGTAGCATTCTAGAAAGTAATATGACATGGGATGAAAATATCACTAAAGTCTGCAAAACAATGAATAAGGGTTACTATGCGATCCTTCAGTTGAAAACTCTATTTAACACCAATCAATTGATAAGTGTGTGTTATGCATTGGTTTATTCATATATGGCCTATAATGTTATCTTGTGGGGAAACTCTCGAGTTTTTATAACTGAAAAGAGAATTCTTAGATTGATATTCAATATTAATAATAGACAATCATGTCGTAAATATTTTATTGAACACAGGCTGTTGACTTTTCATGCTTTATATATTGATAAGTGTATTATTCACGTCAAAACTAAATTTCAAAATTTTACCCTCAGACTTTCATAATTACCCGACAAGACACGGGAGGTTGATAAGCGTGTGTAAACACTCCAAAACTCTCTTTGAAACTAGTCCTGATTTTGCTGATATAAGAAATGAAAACAATATTCAAAAATTCAAAAATAAATTAAAAGCATGCTTGATCCAATTATGCGTTTACAACCTAAATTAATATTTTGACTTAAAAGACTACAGAGAATAAGGACCGACGGGTTCAGAGACGCTCTATATTGCATATCTTTGTTTTTTGTTTTTATATTAATCTATATTTTATTGATTTTGTTTTATGTAATTGTCCTATATAACTTGTTGATCATGCTTTATGTACTATATGACTTGTCCTATATCACAATGTGATCTGATGGGATTAAAGAATATTCTATTCTATATATATATATATATATATATATATATATATATATATATATATATATATATATATATATATATATATATATATATATATTAAAAATGTATCCACAAAAAACAAAGATGCCTACAAAAACATCTTCAAACAATAAAAATTAACAATAATTGACTATTTTTATCGCTTGCAGATGTTTTCGTTTCTATTGCCTGAATTTTGTCAACTCAGAAAAAAAAATGGCCAACAAAATTCAGCCAAGAATACCAATTACCTAAAACATTTGTAAACTATAAAATCATCATTATTTCATCATCATCAATTCATCAATTATTTTCGATTTTTCGGAGTCTGCGTTCTCCTTTTTTATGAAACCAACTTTTTTGACACAGTGTTTGATTGTTTCCGGTGTTACTTTGTTCCAAGCTTTCTTACACATTCGAGATATTTGTAGAATGTCTAACTTTATTTTAAGGGAGTTACAATCTTCCGTCAATATGTTTTCAACCAAAAAACCTCTGAAAAAATGTTGTAAGATATTTTTTGACACCCTGGTCCATAGGTAGGAGGACCGAAGTCATGTTAGCAGAAAAAAAATTAACTTACATTTTCCATCAGTGGGATAGTGTTGTGTGCCGTACAGTTGTCAATAAACAAAGTAACTTTTTTTATGAACTTTTTGTCTAACTTTTTCAGCCATTTCTTAAAAAGATCACTAGTCATCCAAGCTCTTGCGCTGCTCACATATTCCACTGGTTTTGACTTTACGTTCTTAAAACAACGCGGATTAACTGACTTGCCAATCCTCAGTAGAGGCAGTCTTTCTGATCAGTCCATGTTTGCACCAATTAGGAGAGTGACTCTTTCTTTACTTAGTTTTCTTCCGTGATATTTTTCGTTTTTAAATGCCAGTGTTTTGTCAGGAGCGCATTTAAAGAAAAAATACTGGTCTCGTCAATATTAAAGATATCTCTTTCATCTATATCCTGAATCATCTCCTCCAATTTTTTTCCATTGGTTGGCTTCTTGCTGATTAACGGCCCCACTTTCTCCACAAATGGATTTAAACCAAATGTTGTTGCATTCTTTGAAGCCGTCAAGCCACCCTGTACTCGCCTTAAAATTGTTTCTGCTCATTTCATTAGAGATGGGCTATTTCATTACACTACTTCCCTCTTAGATCTGAGCGTCCCGATCAGCAACTCCAGATGTAGGCCCAGGATGGCGGAATCTACAGAACTCTCCAGCTCTGATTGAATCCCTCAAGAAGAAATAACAGTCTACATACTTTGAAGGACACGATCTTTTCAGGTTAATGCAACACACATTAATTCGTACGCCGGTTTCTCGGAAGATCACTTCAAGCATGCTTCTGACAATCTTCCAATCCAGATTTTCTAGTGCATGGCCTATCTTGGGTAAGGCCAAATTCTTGATGTCATAGTGATTCTTGATTTTAGTGAAACTTTATAGATCATGTCTGAAGGTGGTAAAGTTTCCAAAAAGCAGTGGGCTTCGGAAGAAATGAGTACTTAATAGTTGCCTCTTGGGAACACAGTTTGTGATACCCAGAGAATGGCAACTATAAAAACAGGATTAAAAAAGCTAGATTCACAAAAAATTGTTTAAGTTTTTGACGCCAACTGGATAGAAATTTACAGAAAAATTAAAAACAATTTTACAATTTCAATGTGAATAAATAATTATAAAAAAATTTAAAAATCTGACACAGGATAGCATTTTACACCCAAGTAGTTTGGTTATAATGCAATGAATTTTATGCATGACAGAAATACTTTTTCCTAGGACTTCAGTATAAACCAGACACAACTAAGAATAAAAAAAATCTTTTGGTTGGTTATTAAAGAAAAAACTGCACTTTATAAATAAATACTTTGATTGTTCTCATGCCAACCAGAAGTAAAGGACCAAAAACAAACCTCTAACAAAACATAGTTTGCTTGATAGAAATAAGAGTTTCATATTTGTTTGTTTTGCTTTTGTTTTTTAAGTTCTATAAAACACAAAAAACAATTAAATTCAATTCAAATTCGTCGTTATTTGTTATAAAACAATAGAAATTTCTTCCAAAGAGGTCTCCACAAGTTTGTAAATGTAGCAGAATTTACATAAGGATCCCTAGTAACCGAAAATAATGATGTCAGTGCAAAAATGAAGAACAGAATAAACAAACAGCGCATATTACACAAATACAAAAACTACTAATTTGCTCATTAGAGCAGTTTCACCACTTAATTAACACTCCACATAGAAGTTTTTTCTTCTGTTCACTAAGTTAGTTCATTCATTAACTGAAACAATTTAGAAGATTGGATTATTCAATTGACAAGGTTAAAACAAGATCAAAGTCAAAGTTATATCTTCTATTAAAAAGAGAATCCAGATTCAAGAAATTCATCATATTAAAAGAACAATACATCAGAAATATTTGAACTCTCAAGATCTATATGCAGATTGAAGGACAAAGTTCTTCGAAAATCCTCACCTAGATTTTTGACATTATTGACACTCTCAATCAAAACATCCTCTAAATTGTAATTAAAAACCAGAGATTGATAAAACTGGATCACCTGACATTTTTTACGATTAATAATTAATTGGTTATTAACTCACCAATTCGCAAATTGAACCAATGATTTCTGTAACCCAATACAATCAGAACATTCCCGAACAATACAAAATAATTTTGTATCATCCTTATATGCTAAGACACGACAGTTAGTCAAGGATCTGGTAGCATCATCAACAAAAATTGTAACGAGTAGAGGTCCTAAATGGGAACCTGGGGGCACTCCAGAGCTTGAAAAGTATTCAGTTGAAATAAAGCAATTCAGTGTCCTTAGGTTTGAGGCACAAAGACCAGTCTTGCATATAACTTTTCAACCAGTAAAAAAGTTTAGAATTCCAGTTTATACAATAAAAGGTAATGATCTACCCTTTCAAATGATTTAGACAAGTCAGTATAAATGAAATCCACTAGAGAACTGTTGAATGACTAGGCAGGAAACCATGCTGACTCAAAGTCTCTAAAATTTTAGGAATAGCAGAAAGAATTGTAATGGAATGATAATTAGAAACCAATGATTGACGATGACGATTAGATAACATCCAACATAACTCATAAATTTGAATGAACCAATAACAATTTATACCTTAAATTTGTTTTTGATGACTCCTTTTAAGGATGTAAACTGGTCATTTGTGACAAGAATCTACACCAAACACATTTTTGAAAAGTTTTATCAGTGAAATGGTGTTACTTAATATCGTTGGCAAAACAAATCGTTTTGCTTGAAAAAAACATAGACAAACCAAGAGACTGTTACAGTAAAAATTATACTGAGGTTTTCAGGTCATGAGATATTGAACCCGAACCTCCCGTGTGACTCAGTTTTTCAAGGCTAAAAAATAATAAATAGTACATATAAATTTAGAAATACATATGTTAAATTTAAAAAATCTAATTCTACTTGCAAAGCAGTATAAAGTTTCATTTACAAGTTTTTTTAAACTAAGGTAACTAACCATTTACAGGGAATTTCCTTTTATAAGAAATTTTATTATATGTTGCTGTAACAATTGTTAATTGTTTTATTGATACAATTTTGTGTTTCAGATATGGCGGTAAATGTTTATTCCACGAACGTTACGTCAGAGAATCTATCCCGCCATGATATGCTGGCATGGGTGAACGAATGTTTGCAGAGTAGTTTTGCAAAAATTGAAGAATTATGTACAGGGGCCGCATATTGCCAGTTTATGGACATGCTTTTTCCTGGATCTGTCCAATTAAAGAGAGTTAAATTTAGAACCAATTTGGAACATGAGTACATACAAAATTTCAAGATTCTTCAAGCTAGTTTTAAGAAAATGTCAGTAGATAAGGTAATATAAGATAGTAGTAATTTAGTAGTTAGAACAAATATTTATTTAGAGTCTACTTTATTGACTCAATGCAGTCTCAGCTAAGTAGTAAGTTTAGTTAAGTCTATTCAATAAATTATTTACACTAGTTTAGAGTTAAGTAAGTAACGATTCAACTGACCATCTATACAAATTAATTTAGATAGTTTGTATCTTTCAGCGGGTAAAGACCATAGAAAGAGTGCCGTCTACCTACGGAGGTTGGCAATCATAATGGCTATTTTTATTGTTGAACTTGCTGCTCTAAACAAATCAATTGATCTGCATTGATACCAATCACATAGTTTCTTGAACCATGAGTTCTGCCTTCGGTCAACAGAATCTTTCCCTGTATTATTATCAAAATTTCATATTTTGGTCCCTCATCAAGTGGCCTAGGTATTCCAGTTTTCTGGTTTGTATAGTGGAGATTAGTTCTGTTTCTTTACCAACCCTCTCTAGTACTTCTTTTTTTGTAATTCTATCAGTCCATGATATTTTTAATACTCTGGTATTGGTTTCATTGATCAAAGTTCCCAAGTACTGATAGTTTTCTACTTGTCCTATCATGTTACCATTAATTGTCAATAGGCGATGTATATTTTGTGGTCTTTTTGTAATTAGCATTTTTTTCCCGTGGAATTTATGGCTTTGGCGAGAACCAATTAGCCAGACTATGTTAGATTGAATCATTAATTTGTGTATAATGTTAATGTTTATATAAAACGGTTAAGGTGTTTTTTTTCATATATAATTGGTACATGAATAAATTTTTTATTTTTTTTGCGCTAGGGCGTCAACCCGGTTCATCCCCTCGGAGGTTTCAGTAATTAGCATGAACTTCGTTTTTTTTAGCGTTTATAGTAATTCCCATCACAGCACTGATCTTTTATACTCGTTTCTATGATCACAGTGTCGTCTGCATATCGTAAGTTGTTAATTAATTTTCCGGTAACTCCCGCTTTGATATTATTGAGCGTGTTTTGGAAAATTTCTTCAGAATATAAGTTAAACAAAAGTGGCGATAAAACACATCCCTGTCTAACTCCTCTACAGATCTTCATTTCTTCTGAGTGATGCCTGTCAATTTGAACTATGGCAATTTGGTCCCAATATTATGTTGGCACCACAGAATACTAATCACAACAAGAAGCGAAACGGAGGGCTTTTTCGCAATCCAAATTTCTTTGCGCATGTGCGAAATCGGCCATAGTGTTAGTAGTGTTGTTTGTTTATATATTGAGAAGTGTTATTGTATTGTATTGAGAAGTTATTTAGTTAGTTATTTAGTTAGTTAGTTATTTAGTTAGTTAGTTAATTTAATATATTTGTGTAATAAACTTATTGTGATGGCTGCACGAAAGGATTTTATTGTGTTGTTCGTGGGTGCCCATCGAAAACTGGGGAAGAAATTAGTCTCTTTTCAATACCGACTGATCGTAGCAGGTAAACAAATTAAATTTTAAATTCAAACGTATTACAAATGTTGTCTGAATGTTTATATTTTAGTTAAATACACTTTTTTTAGAGGCCAATAGGTATGATCGGCTTTCAAAGGTGCTGAATTGCATACTAATTATAGAATGTGCGAGAAACGTTTTGAACCGGTGTACATGTACAAAGGAAACACACGGAAGTATTTATTTCAACAAGCACATCCAACGATTTTCTCACACAGCCAATATTCAAAACACACAGACGAACCATTAAAGAAAGTCATAAGGCTGGAAGGTAGATACTTTTTATTTATTCACAATTATAGTGCTTTATTATAAAAGTCACAGTATCTACTTACAACTATATACAAAGTTGTTTGTTGTTTTTCATAATATAAACAAGATCTGGAATTGTGAAATTTAATGATCTTTTATCAGCCTTATTAAGAACATAATATATCTTATGGTTACATACTGAGTAATATTTATGTCGTGGTTTTAGGTACCACTGAAACCTATAATGTACAGGAAGTAATTAATAGTCCAACTGATAAAAACCATAATACTATACCTGATACTTTGATGGAAGAGTTTCTGGTAACAGGTAATTTTATTTATTGCTACAACTGTATTATGCATTCAACTAATCACTAATAAGCATTAACATATCTACTTTGAACGTTTATATGTTATTTGGTTATTAAATATATTTTTATATTTCAGATGTTAATATCAGGAAGTGTCTAGCCCACCTAGGCCCCATACTCCAGCTCCATTTTTCACAGCTGCAACACAAACCCCCTCCAAGTTGTCGGGAGGTACACCAAGAAAAAGGAAACTTAGATTGAAAATAAAAAAATTGCATGCAAGTGCAAAGAAAGCATATGCGTCTTCCAAACAGAAGGAAGACAATAAATCTTTAAAAAAATTTTTTCAAATGTGTGACAAATTTTTAAACAAATCCCTAGCACAAATAGTGAAAGCTCAAGCAATTTTAAAAACTAAATGTCCAAAAAGTAGAAGGTATTCTGATGAATATAAACAATTTGCATTAACACTATATTTTTTGGGCCCAAGAGTGTATGCTTTTATGGAAAGAATACTGTATTTGCCCTCAAAACGAAGTCTTCAAAAAATTACTGAAAATTTGGTCTGTAAACCTGGTTTGAATAATGACCAAATATTTGATGCCCTAAAGTTAAAAGTGAACACAATGTTAGATCAGGACAAGCACTGTAGTATTTGTATTGATGAAATGTCTATTAAAAGTAATTTATTTTTTGATACAGGTCGTGATGAGATTGTTGGTCTATATGATATAGGAAATGGGAAAAAGGAATCAATAATTGCATAAAATGTACTTGTGATAATGGTTCGAGGCTTATATTTAAATTGGAAACAACAACTAGCATATTTCTTTGTAAACACTACCTTTGAAGCAAATCATCTTCTTCCTATTATAAAAGAATGTATTTCTAAACTATTTCAATCAGGTTTATATGTGAATTGAAGACATAAGTGGATAAAGGTCATATGTCACAAAATGATATTTTTGAGTAATGACCATTTTAGTGTCTTTTGTTCCAAGTTAATTATTTATTTTATAAATTTGCATTGCTGCACTTTTTTAAACAGGTATCTGAAGGTACTTTTTTTAGACTTTAAATTGAATTTAAAAAAAGTTACCTTAAGCCAAATATTTCAGATTTTGTGGACATATTGCCTTAATCCACATACTAAAAATAATTAAAAAATGTTAGGGTTCAGTGGATAAAAGAGTTAAGTATAAAAAATGGTCATTTATTTTCAAAAAACACTTACAATACAAAATGAAAAATTAACAAAAATAAATTTTTTAGTAGGTTTTTCTTTTCTTTTTAGGATTTTCTTTATTTTCCTCTATCGCGTTTTCATAAAACCATCTGTACTCTTCGGGAACAAATTTTATTTGGTCTCTTAAATTTTCCAGTTTTTCCAAACTCAAACCAACAGTTTTATTTTCCAGTCTTCTTGGTCTATATTCACTTCTGGTCAGATGTGCTGTCCTTTTTTTTCTTAAATCTACTTGCTGAAATGGCATGTAGTCATTAAGACATGTCTTATAGAGATAGAATCCAAATTCGTCCACTCTTATCCATTTTACATTATCACGAAAATTAATCTTTTCATTTGAACTGTTTGTTGTCTTTTTACATAAATAGAGCTTCGTTAGCAGATCTTCAAAGTCGTAGAAAAAATTCTCCATATTTACACAAATGCTACCTTTTGTGCTTGCCGACGTGATAATGTTACGATATTGATCTGGAATAAAAATTGACTGATGTTTTCTCAGAACTTTTTCTATCCTTCCAAAGTCCCTGTCAGAATCTAAATAACTGTGGCCCACTTCAGGAAATTTGTGCTCTATTATTTTAAAATATCCATTTAAAATGAGATATTGATATAGACCTACAATTATAAAGTTTTTGTTCTGACCAGAACATGAATCTGACCATATGATCAAATGATTAATATGGGGATTTTCTTCTTTTAAAAGCTTACAAAATCGAAACAGACAACTCGCTATTTCAGTACTACCTCGATTAGCTACATCTTCGGTCCACGTAAAAAAGTAAGATTTTGATCCTGATGAAGTTATGCAATGTATACCAAAATTATACAGCCACATTTGACGTAAATAGAATGCTCTTGATGTTGAAAGCTTAGGTAACGGCATGGTTTGTTGTAGATCCATTGTGATGTAGCACATATTATTGTCACTTATTGGCTTTTGCCTATCTACTTTTTGAGATTCAAATGCAATGCTACAGTTTTCTTTATGCTCTATAGTATTTTCTCCAGAATCACATGTGCTACATGTGTCACTTTTTGGATATCCAAATGATAGATTGAATTTAGTATCGAACACATGGCGATACATGGAAAGTTTAACTAAGTATTTTTCACCAATTTGTTGTTCATCGCATCTTTTTAGGTATAGTTCATGCATTTTTGTTACATTTAATAATGGTGACAAATACTTTCTATTCTGATTTTTGTTTCGAGAATAGTGAGAGCTCTCAGCTGGAAACATTTGAACATGTTCAGTAATGTATTCTACTACCGCTTCACCGATCTTGTGAGGTCTATTTGTATGTTGCCCTTGTTTACTTGGACTTGGAGCTGATTGACCTTGTTTAAGTTGTTTTTGAAGATTTAATATTTTCTTTGAGCCAACTTGGTACAGCGAACAAATTGCATCCTTACAGACAGATATTTTTTCTCTGTCGTAAGTTACTGAGTATTTAAAAGAACATTCTCTTAACTTCTGCTTTTTACCTCCAGAACGAATTCGGTGTCTTGAAACTTGATTTATGTCAATGCTTTTAAACAAAAGACAGGTTTTTGCGTTATTTTCTAAATTATAAAACCTTTTCAATATAGATTTTCTAGCTTCTAAGCTGAATTTGGTTCCACACTTTAATCTGCATGTTGCTTTACATAACACTAAATCTTCCTCAATTTCTTTTGCTGGTATAATTTTTCCATTTTGAGAAACATATTCCA